TGGATAAATGCGTTCATGTGTGTTAATTTATATAGAGATATAATAAGTTCGGACATATGAATATGATTAGTGTTGCTTGAGAGAGATCACTAAATGCAATAGGTTAATTCGATCGTTGGCACGTACGAAAAATGGTTGAATAAATTAGAATTAAATGTATGATAAATAAACTAAGTGAAATTGAAATCCTAACTATCCAATTACATAATCTTTTTTACAATTTTAATTTGAGTTTGTTATTTTATTTATTAGAATTTCGCTTAAAAAATGAAATTTGAGTTGATCATTAGTTACCATTTTACTTTAAATTGAAGTTAGATTAGTTTTAAAACTTTATAGTAAATAGTAGTCTTCGTGGGACGATACTCGAATTTAATAAATTCACTTTATTACTTGTCACAATCCGTATACTTGCAAAATTTTACGAACATTATTCAACACCTATTTTTATGTATTTATAAATTAAACCATTTATAAGTTTTCGAGAACTCCCAAGCATGAACACGTATTGCTATAATGTTGTTTTTCTTATAAATTTTTCCATAATTCTCTTCAAATTTGTTTGATTCGAGAATGTTTTGTTAAATATCTATAGTACTACAGAAGATTTGAACCCCCCAAAAAAAGTCTGAAAAATAATTATTCTAGTTAGTATGAATAATTATATGTTGGTTCTTTCCAAGTTGACATGAATAAGTTCTTTACGGGGGCATGTGGATTTTCTAAAAATATATTTAACGAAAAGTGATTTTTGAAGAATTTATGATTAGAAAGTAAGAAAAAAAATTATAAATGTGCACTTGCTAGGCAAACTTGTTTTCCCTAGTATTTCATATAGTTGTCCTGTTCTTAGTAAATGGTAACTATGTCAACACGGTTTTTAATATCTCAATACTTCAAGAATAATGCTCATTGTACATTGTTTTGTTGACATCAAATTTCACACCATGTGTAAATTCAAATTGTGNCAATACTCTTTTCCTTTGACTAAGAATAAAGTATCTTGTACATTGTTTTCTTGACATTATGTTTGACACCTTGTGTAAATTCAAATTGTGTTTAGCGGGAAAGTGTGTTGTTTTAAAAAAACTATCTAATATAATGTCGTCACGTGGCACAGTATCAAACTTAATGTCAAAATTAGTGTACTTGTAGCATGGTTGATACTTCATATCTCAATGTAAATAATCATATTAGATATACATTTTGTTTTACATCAAGTTTAACATTATATGAATTAGCAAGTTTTTATATATTGATTTTAACAACACTTTTCACAATTAATAGCTAGATTTTCGACACATAAACCGAACGTCAAAGATGATGTCAACCACAAGTGTACATTAAGTATAATTCTAACGTAAAATAAGAAGAATTGATATGCCAATGCATTTTTTAAAAAAATACAATATTGCTACATGAATATCAAGATTGACAAAAAGTTTGACATAATGTCATATGACATTCTATCATTAAACATTTTACAATAGGTTGTGCTACTTGTACATTATGTCAACCATAATGGATGACATAATGTACAAGTGGCAGTACATTATTGGAGGGTGATTTGTACATTATGTCATCCATTATGGATGACATAATGTACAAATAGAATTATCCTTTTAAAATATAATCAAGTTTTTTATCCAATTATTTATTGCCACATACAACTATATCAAACTTCATGTCAAATCCTTGTGCCAAAATTTTTGAAAAATGCTATTCATCCATAGTGGGGATGCATCCCAAATCTATGTGGATGTAAATGATTGGTTAAATGATAGATGAAATTAAATGACTTATTTAATTTCACCTATCATTTAACGTCACATTAACGCCACATACACTGGGGATACATCCCCAGTAAGGATGAATAGCATTCCTCAAAACTTCTACCAGGCAATTTCTGTCCATAAATACACCATCCCCATGTCTCAAGTCCTCACCCACAAAAANTTTCTGTCCATAAATACACCATCCCCTTGTCGCAATTTCTGTCCATAAATACACCATCCCCTTGCCTCAAGTCCTCACCCACAAAAAACTCCATTGAATGGCTGTTTCAACTGTTGAAAAAAAGAAAACAATGTTGGCTGCGGAGAAGGAACCTCACGTGGCCTTCCTCCATAGCCCCGGCCTCGGCCACATAATCCCCCTCTTCCAGTTCGCGAAGCACCTCGTCCTTCACCACCAAGTCCGTGTCAGTTTCCTTGTGATCACCACCGGAGCCTCCGCCGCTCAGAACCACTTCCTCCAGTCTGAAACCATCCCACCTCAACTCCAAGTCATTAACATTCCACAAACTGACATGACCGACATCATCACTGATGACATGCTTTTATTGACTAAACTATGTGTCATGACTGAAGAATCCCTCAAACCTTTGAAATCCATTTTAGTTGAATTAAAACCTAAAGCTCTCATCATTGACATATTTACCACTCAAGCCATTGATGTTTGTGAAGAACTATCCATTCCTGTTTACTCGTTTTTCACTGCTTCACCTATTTTACTTGCATTTTCATTGTATCTCCCCACACTGGATTCCCAAGTAGAGGGCGAATTCGTGGATCTTCCCGGGCCAGTTGAGGTCCCAGGTTGCCCCCCAATTCGCACAAACAACCTTCTTGATCAGGTATGTTTAACTCCCTCATCTAAAAGCTTAAAGATTCTGTTATCTTTATGTTTTAGTTTTGTTTTTTGAGTTTTCAATTTATTTTAGTTCTGTATTTTGAGTGTCATTTTGAAATTGTTGAAAATGTGTTCTTTTTGATATTTTGAAAAATTGTTTTGAAAATACTCAAAACACGTTTTGAAAATTTTGACTTGATTATAATTGAAAACACCTCGTTTTGGGTTTTCTTTATAAATTTTTAAATTGTTTTCAAAAATGTGTTCTCGAAAATGAGAAAAAGAATGCGTTTTTACTATTTTGAAAAATAAAAAACAGAAAACGGTTTGAAAATTGTAAAGAAAATAAGCCATAAACCTTTAAAGAACAAACACATTTATTTATTTAAATTTTGTCTTTGAGATGACGGGACGTGCAATTTTACTCTTGACAGGTGAAAAACAGAAAGAATGAAGAATACAGATGGTATTTGTTTCACGCAAGTAGGATATCCCTGGTCGCAGGCATTTTCGCAAACACCTGGCAGGATCTTGAACCTGTTACACTCGAAGCATTGAAAGAAAATCCATTTTTCAAAGAAATTTCAACTCCTCCAGTTTATACAATAGGGCCCTTGATCAAAAATGATGAATTTTTAACAGAAAAGGATGCAAAAATCATAGCCTGGCTGGATAATCAACCAACTGATTCAGTTCTATTCATCAACCTTGGGAGTGGTGGAACATTATCGAGTAAGCAGCTCACTGAATTAGCATGGGGTCTACAAATGAGCCAGCAGCGGTTCATTTTGGTGGTGCGTAAGCCAACCGACGCCAGTGCCAGTGGCGCGTATTTCAGTGCTGGAAACGATGAGAATGACCCATCAGCTTATTTGCCTGATGGGTTTGTTGAAAAGACTCAAGAGCTTGGGCTAGTTATACCCTCATGGGCTCCGCAAGTGGCGGTGCTCCGCCATGAGTCCACGCGAGCATTCTTGTCACATTGCGGATGGAATTCGACATTGGAGAGTTTAGTCCATGGAGTGCCTATGATTGCATGGCCACTTTACGCGGAGCAAAGAATGAATGCTGCCTTACTGACAGAGGAGGTCGGCGTGGCGATGAAGCTGGTGGTAGAGCCGGAGCCGGAAGTGATCGGGAGAGAGAAGGTTGAGAGGGCGGTTAGGGCGATGATGGAAGGGGAAGAATGCAAGGCCATAAGGTGTAAAGCTAGAGAGTTGAAAGAAAGTGCGTGCAAAATATTAGATAAGGGTGGATTTTCTTATGATTTAATATGTCGTGTAGTTGACACTTGGAAATCATAGGGTTGGAAATTTGTGGATTTTCAAAAGGATTGATGGTGGAAAATCCCTAGAAACGTTTCCTTTTACGATATATCTCATTGTCTATTGGAAATCATAAAAACCCTCTTATTTGAAAAATTTTGTGTGAAAAATTCCATACTGTCAAATTTTCCTTTAAAATGGTAAAAATGTCAAAATTTAAAAGTAATAATACAATTTCAGTATATGAACTTTTTATTCTTTTACAAATTATACCTAATTTTTTTAATGTATCACCCACGATCCTAAACTTTTAAAACTTCAACTCCCTCTAAAAATCTTGCCTCATCTTCTCCAACTCCATTATTTGCTTCCTTTTACTGTCCTCAATCTTCTCATATATCTGTCCAAACCTCTGAATAGACTCTGCCAACAAGTCATCCGATCGTCTCCTAACCCTTTCTCTTCGTCATCTTCGTTGTTTGATTGCCCTGGACTAGCCCTCATTTCATCCAACAAATTAGACCTATCTAACTATACCCGCTGATTCATAAACACATACTTCCTTGAATTGATCCCACACCCCAATCCACAATGGTCTCTAGTCCTTATATTCAATAAAACATCCATTTTCTTGAAATAAAAAAACACTCATTTGCTCAGTGGCGGACCCAGGATCTAAACTCAACCCGGGCGGACGTTGACTAGTCAACATCGACCAGTCAATGTCGACCATCAACGTTCGTANCTGAGCGAACGTTGACCGGTCAATGTCGACAATCAGCGATCGGAAGTGCGAGGTCGTTTATTAATATTTAATTATATAATATTAAAAATTATTCAATATATATGTAACAATACAAGGTATTCGAACAAAAAATTTCCTTCAAAACCAATACACAAGATCAAGTTGGCAAGTATATGCATTCAAATGAAGTAGAAAATGCTTACAATTGACTTACTACACTCCTGAATATGAAACCAGAGGTACTAATATCTTGGCAACATTCTGAGTAACTCCTCAACCTAGAGTTTCGCTGAAGAAGCAGGGGCTGTGGTAGCTGCCGAATCTTCTACTGCAAACTGAGACTTAAATATTAATCAAGTTGTTAAATTTCTTCATTAATATTTCCAACAGTTTGTCATAATAGAAATAAGCTCCTCAGCTGTCCATGTTACTTGGGAGAGTTCTGAAAGGCGACTCAGAAGCTCTTTATCTATTGGCGGTGGTTTGGGAAAATAATCTGAAAGAAAAGGGCAGTATAAGAAAATTGTTAAGAACATTTGATTTAATGAGACATTTGGTGCAATTTCAAGCTACAATCAATGGAAATTCTCTTACCTGTACCCTTTTTAAAGCTAAGTAATGAGAATGATGCCAGAATTCTTTCCTCGAGAGGCCTGTCATAATTCAAAGATTCTACTAATTGTGTCATGAGGATTGAGCATGCCTTAAATTTAAGGTTTATATTCCCAAGGGAATGGAGACCAATGCTCATCCAGCATACAGTTACAAGGCTTGCTCGTGCCAGGAACGGGATACTATTATCTATTGAATCCGAAAAAGCCTCGAGAAGCCTCCTGTTACCTGCGGTAATCAACACCATAGTTGCTTTTCTTTGCCAAATTTCCATTGTTTTGTCCTCTTTATTCTGAGAATTGTCAGCATAAAATAGATAAGTTCAATAATTGGAAATCAAGATCAAATTCCCAAAGATTTTATAGTATTCAAAGGATACGCAGAAACAGTTCAGCATTTTATGGAGATAGGACTCACCAAGTGTAAGTATCCATCAATACCGATGTCCTTCTCAAAAAATGAGTCTTCTAATTTCTCGTCAAAGCCTGCTTTTCTCAATAGCCATTTCTCCACTATTGTCCCTCCGTTATAAGAGAATACCAGTTACCTACTTCAACATGACTGCAATGCTTGATTTCTTCTTTTACAATACAGAACTTCTCTTCTTCCTTTGGATGCCCAAAAACAGCTTGATATCTTTGGGCACAAAGACATAGGGGAAAAAAGTATATAATCTATTCTCATTCTCCTATGAAAAGAGATGATAGAACATCTATTTAACTAAAACTTACAGTGATTTATTACTGATGGAGCGATAAGAAGTTGAAGAGTCCAAAGATACCCTTCTTGAACGAGCACAGCTTATTTTTGAAGGCAAAGGAACAGAAGGAACAACAGGAACGAAGCGCCAACTTTAAGCCACTCCTTGTAGGAAAAAGCAAAATGTATTGTGCCAAAATCCAATTGACTATTATATAATTTGTTAAGAGCCTTAATCTTTTTCT